TTAAACTCCTTTTAAAACCTCCATTACCTGACCTTTTACATAAGTCTTATCTTTGCAGAATGACAATCTAGAGCTTGATCTTAATCCCAGTATCTGTATCCTGGATGGAACAGAGTAGGATAGGACTGGCTATTTGCTGGGACCTCTTCTCAAGACTTTCCTCCTTGTATATGAATCATTTAATCACTTCAAGTGACAAGAGTGTGGGTACAACAGAGTTTACTGATTATAAAGCTTCTCGTTTCATTTCCTTAAGCTGGAATTTCACTTTGAGTTCTCCCTGGACTTCTTCTCAAGATTAAATTTTCAGACAAATTTAATAAAACTACTTACCTTTTATATTTTATTCCTATACTCATCTGTAGTGACTTTGGAAACTTTATATGTAGAAAGTCATAATTCAGTTGAATTTACCTAACAGTCTGATGATCTTGCCTTGAATTTTTTCTTTAGACCAGAAGTAAGGTTGACTCAAGTAAGATGCTTGCAAACTAAAAAAAGAAATCTTTGAAGTGGTGCTCTAAGATTTTGTTTTTAGAAGATTTTAACCCTAAGTAGTAGTAGAGAGGCAAAGAGCTCAGAGTGTCATCTTTTAACATTTCTTCAAGTTTTTATTTAACTTCTCTGTGCCTCTATTTATTAATTTATAAAAAGAAATAGTAGTATTACCTATCTCATAGGGTTATTTTGAGGATTAAATGAAAATCACATAAATCAGTGTCCAGCATATGGTGAATTCTCAATAAATATTAATACATCATTATTATTTATAAATTAAGTATTCTTAACTTATTTGGTTCTTCCTCTTAATAATTATTTCCCTAAAGGTTAAATGATAGTGAAATTGAACGACAACATTTTAAGGACCAAGATATGTATTCCGATAAATCTGATAAAGAAAATGATCAAGAACATGATGAGTCTGACAATGAGGTGCTGGGGAAAAGTGAAGAAAGTGACACAGATACATCAGAAAGGCAAGATGACTCGTACATTGAGCCTGAGCCTGTGGAGCCTTTGAAGGAAACTACCTACACTGAGGAGAGCCACGAAGAGCTTGGGGAGGTGACAGTTTATTTTCAGAGATTCTCTTTTTCTAGTTCTTGGGAATTTTCAAATGAAATTGAAGATATTTGCTTAACCTATTGCTTATTTTTCCTGAAAGAGATTTTTATGATACCTATTTTAAAAGTTGCATATATATGAATTATTAATATATCAGGATTTATAAACAACTGAACACATATATTGGCACAAATAATGATATGTTCTATTAAATTTAAAGTTTTCTGTTTTCTTCAAGTTTGCTTTCGAAATAGGATATTGCTTAATGTCATTGACAGGTGCAAAGTAATTGCAAGAAACAATGAATTTGTAACTGTTATTACCAGGGCATAGAAGTGAGTACAGTATAAGATAATAGGTATGATGTTTTTGTAGTCTGGACCTTTTGTATATATTATTCACTTTGTCTCCTTTTACCTAAGTTTTATAGCTGTAGACTCTTTTACCTAAGTTTTATAGCTATAGACTTATTATTTGAAGGGTTGTTTCCCTATTTTAAGAATGTTTGTAATAGTCTTGAAGAGAATTCATATTTTCAACATTAGCCATCTTATCTACATGTCTTTGTGTCTGAAATACACTATTTTAATAATTTTCATTAATTGCTAAAGGCTGGTGAGGCTTCTCAAACAGAAACTGTGTCTGAAGAAAACAAAAGCCTTATCTGGACACTGTTGAAACAAGTTCGTCCTGGCATGGACCTGTCCAGGGTGGTTTTGCCTACATTTATTTTGGAACCTCGTTCTTTCCTGGATAAACTTTCAGATTACTACTATCATGCAGATTTCCTTTCTGAGTAAGTAAATTGTTATTTCTTTTCCTTTCTTTCTTTTCTTTCTTTTCTTTCTTTTCTTTCTTTTCTTTCTTTCTTTCTTTCTGTCTTTTTTTTGAGACAGATTCTCATCTGCTTGCCCTCAGTAGAGTGCTATGGTGTTATAGCTCACAGTAAGCCTCAAACTCGTGTACTCAAGTGATCCTCTTGTCTCCCAAGTAGCTGAGACTACGGGCACTCGCCACAATGCCCCCTATTTTTAGAGATGGGGGTCTCACTCTTGCTCAGGCTGGTCTTGAACTCCTGAGCTCATGCAGTCCACCCACCTCAGCCTCCTATAGTTAAAATAAGATGATACTTCGTGACGTTAGAAATTCTTAAGATTAATTAGTATTGTTTCTTTCCAAAATCAAGCTCTAATGAGAGGTCACACTCTCTTCCCCACCACTTTTATAATCAACCTTAATAAGGTATATATTTAAAACTTTGCTATAATGTTTCCATTTATGAAGTTGAATTGAGAGACCATAAGCTTGAGGAAGACAGGAATTCTACCCCTTACCCAACACACTGCTTTATGCTACGTAGCTCCCTTGACCTGTTCAGTAAACTAACAAGGGAGGGGTGGTTTGGCACCATTTGTTTTCCTTCACCTGATTCACTCAGGCCCCATCCTTCTGCTTTGTTCATACTTACCTCTCTGCCTGCATGTGAGGCAGTGCGGCTTGCTGAACCCAAATGCTTTGCCACTTGTTGGATTTTAGGATAAACCCTTACTCTCCTTGCTTTTCTTCTGAAGCTGCCAGCTGGTCTAGGGTGTAATTCTGAACAAACAGGCCTAAAGGAGGCAAAGAGGAACTGTCCACCTCTGTTCCAACAATTTCTTGGAAAACCAGTAAACTTTGCAAATAATAACACTTTGCTGCCCATTCTTCCAGTTCTCACCTGCTGCCGCCACTCCTGCAGCGCTGGTATTTCAAGGCACTGTGCTTTATATAATAGTAATTTGTGGCCCTGTGACCTGATTTTCAGAATCTGAATCAAGATATTTTTAGTTTCTATTAGTTGTATTAGTGAACATCCCCACCCCCCAAAATCCATAAGCCAACTCAAAATATAATTGATAAAATGTCAGAAATTATTGCAAATTTTATCATAAAGTGTTAGAAATTGAATGAAAATGATTAACAACCCTTAGAAAAAGGGGTGGAAGAAATGACCGGGCATTTCAAAAATGAAGAAACACAAACAGTCCTTAACATGTAAAACCTCGTGGAGAATAAGAAAAATGTAGATTCAAGCTCTAGGGACGTGCAGTGGTTCATTCCTATAATCCCAGCACTTTGGGAGGCCAAGGTGAGAGGATTGTTTGAGGTGAGGAGTTCAAGATCAGCCTGAGCAACATAGCAAGATTCCATGTCCACAAAGAAGAAAAAAATTAGCTGGGCATGGGGGTATGTGCCTGTCATTCCAGCTACTTCGGAACTGAGGTAGGAGGATTGCTTGAGCCTAGGAGTTTCAGGTTCAGGCACCACTGCACTTCAGCCTGTGTGACACCATAAGACCCTATCTCTAAAAAAAAATTTTTTTTTGAACTATAATAAGTTACTGTTGTTCATCCATCACATTTACAAAAAGTCAAAAGGCTTTTACATCTCAGTCCTTTCCAATATCTTCTGTAGTTTCCTTTTATCCGTCTAGAAATTAATTTCTCTCAGAATATAAGGCAGATTCCTACGAATCACAATAAGATCTTTTTTGGAGATGCCCATTTTCCCAAATAGAAAGGTTATAGTTTTCTGACAACACTGTTGCCAAAACTCTGGACCAGTAAGCACTCTCATCTACTGCCATAGGTGGTACAGACTGGCACAGTGCTGAAAGGATTCTGTCGGCATTCGCCCAAATCATAAATGCATTCATCATTTGATCCGGGTGTAGGAATAACTCCTACACCTACTCTCACTCTGGGAATAACTCCATATATATAGACAGAATGACATACTGTATATATATGAGATTGTCTTAGCAGGGTTTGTAACAGTAGAATGTTAGATGTGTAATAATTCAAGCATCCAACCATAATTGGTCACGTAACGTGGTACATCCACACATGTAAAGAACTCTGCACTGATACACTGAGACTTCCAATATTATGTTTGTGAAAAAAGCAAGATAGAGTGTGTATAGTTTGCTATCTTTTTTAAAAACAGGACTATGTATTTATATTTGCTTATTTGTGCTTAAAGATAATTTATTTTTAAAGTAAAAATATTACCTATAGGAGGTAAATGAAAACACTGGAGAAGTGGGGCAGTAGCAAGACATGCATGCGTCTTTATAAATGCTTTGACTTGGAACTTCTTTATGTAAAATTTAAAATATTATTGCTTAGTTAAGAGAGGAAGAGAGCAATTAGAGAGTTGTTACAGTACAAACTTTCCCTTAGTACAATTTTCTTTTTTTTTTTTTTGCAGTTTTTGGCCAGGGCTGGGTTTGAACCCGCCATCCGGCATATGGGGCTTGCGCCTTACTCCTTTGAGCCACAGGCACCGCCCCCTAAGTACAATTTTTCAGTCAGCCTGCCTCAAATTCACCACATGGGACTGTCACGTGCTTGTGAAACACAAACGCCCTTTTATAAATAAGGACATAATAAATATCTACATTACAAAGAAACCCACAATTTCTCAATAGAATTCACTTCTGAAATACACAGTGTGTTTCAATGTCGGGGACAACAGCACAACTACAGGGAACACAGCTGAGTAGCAGCTCCTATAAATTAAGTCTTTAAAATGAAAATTACTCTTTGATCATCTGTTATACTTTAGAGTTTGTATGGAAAATCTCTGAAAAATCAATTGGTAGAACGTAAAGGGCAAGTAGAGGGATAAAAATAGGTTAAGACCTTTGGATTGATTGAAAGCCTCTTCTTCACACTTGTAATTTGAAGATTCTGTGTTTTGTACTAAGGACTGCAAACCCATAAAGACTTGCAGGGAGGGAGGTAATTTGCACAGAAGAGGCTCACATTGTCCTTCCCTCCATGCTCTGGTCTCCTCTAACTTCAGCACCTGTAAATGGATCCAGCTAAGTGAACAGTGGTCCTTTACTGACCAAGTGTAGCTGGAAACTACAAAAGCCTGTCACTGCTTGGCCGCTGTCCATCATGTCACATGCCGGGCATCGCACAACGCTTGAATCTCAAAATCTGTTTGGGTTTTTTCAGTCAACATTTTCTCTACCAAGCAAGAACTCAGGTTCTGTAGAACCCCACTTAGGAAACCTTGGAGAGTTTCCGAAAACTACGTCAGCAAAGACCTAGCCACTGTATTAAAGAAGAGGAAAAACAGGGAGAAAAGTGACAAGATTGGGAAAAATGATTCTTGCAATTGATTTACATTGTTGTTTTGCCACCTATTTTAAATGTGAATTGTTTTCCAGTCATATCTGATACTCAGTTATTGGTTGATAAATATGAGAAGGAATTTGTGACAGATTCTGTAAAAAATTTTTGTTTACCATTTTGTTTTTTAGGGCTGCTCTTGAAGAAAATCCTTATTTCCGTTTGAAGAAAGTAGTGAAATGGTATTTGTCAGGATTCTATAAAAAGCCAAAGGTAATGATTATATTTTAGTGTCCTTAGCCTTTATGAGTTCCTTATATTTTATATAATCCTTACACTATTTATTAGCAATTACATTTCTTGGCTTCTTTGAGTTAGCAAAATTGTAAAACATTAGATTATTTAGACCCACATTATGACTGAAGTCATTTAATTTTTTTTTTTTTTTTTTTTTAAGCAGAGACTCAGTTGCACTGGGGTTGAGTGCCATGGAGTCATAGAACCTCAAATTCTTTGGCTCAAGCGATCTTCTTGTCTCAGCCTCCCAAGTAGCTGGGACTACAGGCATTGGCCGCAATGCTCGGCTATTTTTTTTTTTTTTAAGAGATGGGGGTCTTGCTTTAGCTCAGGCTGGTCTTGAACTCCTGAGCTCAAGTAGTCCACCCACCTCAGCCTCCCAGAGTGCCTAGGATTACAGGCATGAGCTACCATGCCCAGCCTAAAGGCATTTAATTTTATTTCATATAGATTTCATTTACTGTAAAATTTCATAAGAAGGGCCACCAAATGATAGTTAGACCTGTTTTGACTGGTTTAAACTCTTTTGAATCTTCCATATTTGTAATTTGAAACTTGTTTTTTTTTTTTTTTTTTTTAACTAGGGACTGAAGAAACCTTATAATCCTATACTTGGTGAGACTTTCCGCTGTTTATGGATTCATCCCAGGACAAACAGCAAAACTTTTTATATTGCTGAACAGGTATTAGAAATGCATGTCACAGAAACAAATCTAATCTGGAAATTACTGAGATATTTTCATAGACTATATTAACTCCATAAACTCATTAATGTTTAGCCTTTCTTATTAGTGCACATTTGATTAGTACTGAATACTACTAAACTGCTATTAAATATCATATACTCCTAAGCATTATTATTACTGTTACGGAATTCATAGCCCAAAATAAATCTTTATTTTTTTCTTTCTTGTATCCTTCGACCCTTTTATTTCTTTTTTAGTTTGTTTTGCCAAACCTCATTTCCAAAACACCTGTTTGATTGTGCTCAGAATCCTTCAGTGGTTCTTCAGTTTCAAAATCAGATTTGCTCCCATTTGTCTAGCGTTCAGGCTCCTCAAGATCTTGCCAAATTTATTTCCAGTGAAATGCCTGCCTAGTTGTCCAGTGTAGTCAGACCTGTGCTTTCACAGTGAGGTAACTTGATCTTGCATTTTCTTGCCTCACTACTTTTAAATTTAATTCTTCCACCCCATTGTTTCTTCTCAGTTATTCTTCATCTAAACAAACCTTGACCTGCGCATCCTTCATGATCCAAATAACTGCAGCTCCCAGTGATATTTTTCTTCTCAAACTTCTGTAATTATCCATTAAAAGTGTTAGTTTAACACTTGTATTATTTATCTTTTTACAGAATATTTATTTCCCTAATTGAATTGTTAGTTCCTTGAAAGTATATCCCTTCCCCAGTGAAACCTCTCTTTTTGTTGTACGCATAGTAGGCAGTCAGAAAACATTTTAAACATTTCCATTAACTTAAACCTATGTAAATATATTAATGATCCTCAGTGATCTCCCCTGTCTAAGGAATGTTCTCTTTCAGTAACAATGGTCTTTCATTATGATGATTCTTACCTGGAGTGTGAGGAGAATGAGAAGAACTGTATTCTTTGAAAACCTTCCTCTTCCCCCAGAGAACTAATATATTCCTCAGATCAAAACCACTCATCTATATTAATTTTTAGAAGTGAAGTATTAAACCACTTTGCATTTTTAGTGCACCATGAACCTTCACAAAACAGAGAAGCTTGGGACAGATTTAACTGTTTCATTTCAGAAAACATAAGATTTAAATATTAAGATTTAAATGTATTAAAATTAAAAGATTTAAATGTATTAAATAATATATTTGTCAAAGTTTTTGTTTAACTGGGATCAGTTCAGTAATCCATGTGAAGAGTAAGCATTATATTAGTTACCTATTGCTATGTAATAAATTATTGCCCAAACTGCGTGGGTTAAAACAATATTTATTATCTCATTTGTTGAAGTTCAAGAGCCTGGGAGCTGCTTAGTTGAGTGGGTCTAACTCAGGGTTTCTTATGAGCTTACAGTCAGGATGTCAGACATTTTTACAGTCACTTCACCTGCATGCTGGCTTGGGCTAGAAGTTCACTTCCAATCTTATCACCTGGCTGTTGACACAAGAACTCAGTTCCTCACATGGTCCTCTCCATAGGGTTTTTCAAAATATGGAAGCTGGCTTTTCAGAGCTAATGATTGAGAGGGAGAGAGAGAAAAGGGGATACCTCTCCTTCCCATGATGGAAGTTACGTGATCACCTAACTTCAGAAATGACATACTATCACTTCTGCACAAATCACTTTGGCACAATGTAAGATGACCCTAGTTAATGGTGTGACTACCAGGCGCGTTTCCTTGGGCGTCAGGAGTCACCGATTCTTATTTTTACTGCTTGCCCCATTGTTTTCCTCTTACTCATTATAAGACTTGAACTTTTGATAATAGCACAATAATATACTTATCCTGTTACACTTGTCTTGTTTGTGTTTTTTCTTGTGTTAAATAGGTGTCCCATCATCCACCAATATCTGCCTTTTATGTTAGTAACCGAAAAGATGGATTTTGCCTTAGTGGTAGTATCCTGGCTAAGTCCAAGTTTTATGGTAAGTTTTCCCTGTCCCAGCCTGTACCCTTTCCTGGGAAGTGGTATTTTTCTAGTGAGCTGTTAAGTGTCATGGGCTGTTTTCAGCAAGGAATTTATATATCATCTTTACTTGAATAATTTCCACCCATTCATAAATAAATGTATGGTTCATTTCATACAAGTATTCATCATACTACGTATATGAGTAAATTCATCACAGATATCTTATGAAAAGACATGAGCACCCAGTAGCCCTGTATAGTGTATATGTTTCTTTTGCTATTTGTGTTTGTTTTGTCTCAGTGTACCTGAGGGATCAACCTTTCTATTTTACTCTTTTAAACCGAGAGAAAAAGAAACCTAGGTACAGTTAGAATATTTGATCTAGGGTCAATCAATAATGACACTGAACCTTGGACCAAATAATATACTTATAAAAATTTTTGCAAGTACAGGGAAAAATAGAGAAATGTGGTTATAGTAGAAACCTTAATATAAAAACTTTAACAATTCAAACAAATCATAGATATACCAGTAGAAAATAGATAACCTTAAATGCTTTTATTTGGTTTTTAAAATCTTTTTAATGGAGAAAAATCAAAGAATTGAGTTTTAGCCACAGAATTTTAAACCTACAAGAAAAAAACTGTTGTGGTAAAAATAGGAAAGGTAAAATACGTGAACAGAAATCCAGAGTCTAGTTACCAAAGAGATTGGTGAGTCATAAGTAAGTCTGTAATCGGAAAGTCAGAGTAGTTTTTGACCAGGAACATGGTGAATGCTTTTATTTTTATTCACTATGTCTTTTGTTCCTTTATATAGTTTGGTTTGGCTCTGGGGTTCTTTTTCCCTTGATGTTTGTTTTGGTTTGGTTTTGAGATATTTTTCACCTTGTTTTAGAAGATGATTGCTTATTTTTTTCTGAAGGTTGCATCTATTTTATATCTGTGCTGTTTCTTTCCCACTTCACCTTCCATTCTTCCACTGCCTATCCTGACCATACTGTAAATGGCTTTCATGAGTGTGTATTCTACCCTTGTGGAAATTTTTATTGAGTACCAGATACATAGCTCACTTTCTGGGATTATTTCAGCAGTTGGCCTTCTTTTTTCTGTATTACAGAACAATTCACATACATCAGGACTATCTGTCCCTTTATAATTTGAAAGAATATGCTAAATCCAGAATGAATTTAAGATTGTTAGAATTAATAAATATCTGGTTGAATACAAATGACATTTTTTCTTTTTGTTTTCCTTTTAATTTCTTTATAATATATAGTACTGTTCAAAACAAAATGTTAACTTTGTTTTGTGGGTTTTGTAACATGCAGATGTAACACATATAACTATAGCACAAAGACCCAGAAGAGAGTGAAAGGGCCTAGAGGTTGCAGTGTTTTGTTTTATGTGAAGTATGATATTAACCGTATGTGGACGAGAAATTTTAAAGACAAATTTTTGTAATCCCTAAAGCAGTAATTCTCAACTTGGGGGAATTTTGTCCTCCACTTCCCCCCCCCCCAACCACCACCTGGGAAACATTTGGCAATGTCTGAAGGCATCGCTGGCTTACACAGTTTGGAGATCCAGTAGGTTGGAGGACAGGGATACTGCTCCCCATCCTACAATGCACAGGCCATCCACTTCAGTAAGGAATTATCCAGCCCCAGATTTCAGTCGTGCCACTGTTGAGAAGCCATGCCCAAGAGCAGACACACACATGTGCACACACACAATAATACCAAAACTATAGGCAGAAAGCTGAGAGGAATATTACAGTGAAATACTTTGAAAAATGTAAGTTATTTGATCAAGAATGAAAATCAGAGGGGACAGAAAACAAACATAATAAAACAGTAGCCCAAACCCAATTATATATCATAATTACATCAGTGTTGAGGGTTCAAATAATATAATTTAGACAGATTGTCAGATCAGATAAAACAGCAAGGACCAACACGCAGTAAATGCAGAGACACAAATAGATTGAAAGAAAATGAAAGTAAAAGTTAAAAGCTAAACTTGCAAGCAGTAAGTACAAGTAGGATTGAGTGACTATATAAATAAATTTCAAGACAAAAAGTATTAACACAGATGAAGAACATTGCCTTATAAAAGGCTTAGTTCCTCAGGAAGGCATGATGATCATAAATGCCTGTGTGTCTAGTGGCCAAACTTCAAAATTTAAGCAACAGTAGAGTTAAGGGGAGAAAAATAGTCAATTTCAAAATCATACTTGGAGATCAGTCCCCTCTCCCAGTAATGATAAGATGGCTAGATGAAATACAAGCAAAGATACAGGAGATCTGAAAATACTATCAGTCGCCTCAACCTAATTGATGTTTCTGAAACACTGCAGTCAGCAATTATAAAATACACATTATTTTGGTATAGACTGGTACAGACCATATGCTTGACCAAAAAACAAGTTTCTATAAATTTCAAGACTGAAATTATACAGTATATATCTATACTTCCGTGAAATAGAATTAGAAATAAATAGCAAGGTACTGAAATAAAGGCCAACTATTTGGAAATTAAAATACTTTCAAATAATCCCCATCGGCCAGAAAAGAAATCACAAAGGAAATCAGAAAATACTTTAAGTTAAATGATAATGAAAATACAGCATGTCAAGATTTATAATGCAGTGAAAGCAGTGCCTAGAGGGATACTTGTAACTTTAAATTGGAGAAGGTGAGAGAGCCAAATCAGTGATCTAATGTTTTACCCTATTAGAAGAAAAGAAGAGCTAATTAAACTCACAATAAGTAAAAGAAAGGGAGCAAAAGAGCAGAAATCAATGTAGAGAGCAGATAAACAACACAGAAGGTCAAAGAATCCTAGAGGTAATTTTAGACTGAACCAAAAAAAGGACACAAATCAGGAATAAAATAAGCAGAATCACTACTGATTCTATAGACAATAAAGGGATGATAAATAAATATTATGGACAGTTTTATACCAATAAATTTGACAACTTAGATGAAACAGGAAAATTCTTTGAAAGGCACTAATTTTTTTTTTTCTTTTTTGAGTCAAGAGTCTCAAGCTTGTTGCCCTGGGTAGAGTGCTGTGACGTCACAGCTCACAGCAACCTCAAACTCTTGGACGTAAGTGATTCTCTTGCCTCAGCCTTCCAAGCAGCTAGAACTGTAGGTGCCCGCCACAACACCCGGCTATTTTTTTTTTGGTTGCAGTTGTCATTGTTGCTTAGCAGGTGGGCTGGGTTTGAACCTGCCACCCTAGGTATACGTGGCCGGCGCCCTGCCAGCTGAGCCATGGGTGCTGCCAAAAGGCACTAATTACTAAACCGACATAAGAAGAGGTATAAAATTTTAAAAAGCCTTACAGTTGACGAAACTGATTTAGTAATTAAAAAATTTCCTATGTACTCCAAGCCCACATGTCTTGAGTTCTAAATATTTCAGGAGAAGTAATTCAGCAGTTCTAAACAACTTCTTACGGAAAACAGAAGAGGAGGAAATACGTTTCACCTTATTTTATGAGATCAGGATTACTCCATTCCAAAACTAGACATTACAAGGAAAGAAAGCTACAGATCAATATTGTTCATGAATATACATGCAAAAATTTTTAACAAATTAGTAAATCAATATATAAAGGGTAACATATATGCACATACGCACATAAATACAAGTCTATATAAAAAGGACATGGATCATGATCCATACATTAAAAGAGTAACATATCATGATGGAGTGAGGATTACCTCAGGAGTACAGAGTTGATTTATCATCTAATAAAATCAATGTAATATACCATTTTAATAGAATAAACGGGGGGAAGTATGATTTCAGCAGATATAGAAAAAGGATTTGACAAAATTCAACACTTATTTTTCATAAAAGCTCTCAAAAAACTAGGACTAGACTAAAAGGTGCATATAAAAATTATATAGCCATGGCTCAGTGCCTGTGGCTCAAGTGGCTAAGGTACCAGCCACATACACCTGAGCTGACGGGTTCAAATCCAGCCCAGGCCCACCAAACAACAATGACAGCTGCAACCAGAAAAGAAAAAAGCTGGTGTTGTGGCAGGCACCTGTAATCCCAGCTACTTGGGAGGCAGAGGCAGGAGAATTGCTTGAGCCTCAGGAGTTGGAGGTTGCTGTGAGCTGTGATGCCACAGCACTCTACCCAGGGTGACAGCTTGATGCTCTGTCTCAAAAAAAGAAAAAAAAATATATATATATATATGTATATATATATAGCCAATTTAATAGTTTTGAGGTGAAAATCGAATCATTTCTACCTAAGATCAGGGACACGGCAAGGATGCCTATTCTTACTTTGTACTTCTGTACAAAATTGTGTTAGAAATCTCAGCCAATACAATAGACAAGTTAAGGAAAAGGCATAGAGACTGGAAAGGAAGAAGTTAAACTGTTCACATACCAGATCTACATAGAAAATCATCACAAATATCTAGAAAAGCTAATAGAACTTGTAAGTCAATTTAATAAGGTCTCAGGATACAAGGTCAAGAAGCAGTTGTATTTCTACACAGCTCACAGCAACCTTAAACTCCTGGGCTCAAGCGATTCTCTGGTCTCAGCTTCCCACGTAGCTGGGACTGCAGAATGAAATTTTTAAAAAATAACTGTCTACTGTATTGTGCAAAGAATAAAATATTTGGAAGGAAATTTAATGGAAGATGTTTAACACTTGTGAACTATGTAATTTCATCATTGATTGCATTTTGGTATTTTATGTATATTTATTTTTCTAAATTGTTTTTAGGATTATTCTATCAATCTTAAATATTTAAAGCTTGGTACTTAACTAATATGACTTGCAGATAAGAAATAATGTTATATTCAAAAAAGACAAGTTAGACACTGAAAGTGTTTTATAGATATTCTACATGTTCAGGATTTCTTATAACCCTCATAACATTATAACAAGCACATAAATGTATCTCTTAGAAGTACTTGTTTTGTAAGAATGGAAATGTGGATATTTCGTGTTTTAGATATAAGGTAATGAATACATGTTTGGACACATTGAGATTGAGACATTTTAAAAATATTCCAGTGTGGATGTCTGGGAGGTGTCCTAAATGTATTTTCTGAATTGGTTGAATTAGTTTTGTGAAATTTAATGAAAAATATTTATTTCAGGAAACTCATTATCTGCAATATTAGAGGGAGAAGCACGATTAACTTTCTTGAATAGAGGTGAAGATTATGTAATGACAATGCCATATGCTCATTGTAAAGGTAAATATTTTCTATACTTCAGTTAGCTATTCCTTAAATACTTTTTCAGTAAATGTATGTGGCCATAAATTATTATGTTTTTGAGGTTGGTGGAGTCTGACTTGTTATACTGAGTATTTCTGTAGTGAATTAATTCACCCATAATGGACTTTTTGTGATATATCCTTTAGTCTGAAGAGATTAATTTATAGAATGGAATTTCTTTGTATTTGCCTTATGTGCAAATTTTGAAATTGATGAAACAACCCTTTATTTCAGAATCCTTAAAAGTGATTTTCATTTTATTCACCAGCACCCTTTTTAAAAATTTAAGTTACTATTTTTAATGTACTGAGTCCTTTAAAATTTTTTCTCATCCCTACTTGGCAATTTTTTTAAGTTTATGTATTATGTTCCCTCCATTATTTAGAGTACAGATAAGGGTATTAAGTAATAACGGTCATTTACTACATGCTAGACACCCAAGTATACCCACCTAAGTCTCTGTACTTCACATTTCTAAACGCAGTCATTTCAGCAGCCATGAATGAGGAAAAGGAAGTGCAAAGAGGTTTATTGGCCTGAGATCCCACACTAAGATGTAGCTAAGATCTGAACCTTAGAAGTTTATATCTCCATAGTGTGAACTCTTAATTACTTTGTATCAGCTGAAACATTCAGCTTGATCATTATTTGTGCCTTCTATTCCAACCTATTTTTCTTAAAAATAAACATTTTTGGTAATTATCCTCTATTTTAGGAACTAATTCATGAAAACATAGAAATGATTTACAGTGGCCTCATTTCATAGATGAGAAGAAACCTGAAAGGGGTAAAAGTCTTACCCAAGACCAGCCCAGCTGCTACCAAAGTGGCCAACTTGTGACCTCAGGCTAGGTGATTTTTAGAGTTCCATGTGTAGTTCTTGAAATAGGCATGAAGTGAAATGTCTTGAAGTATGAATTGATAAGTATGTATAATTTTAAATTTTATGTCATTTGGAATAAATAGAATTATATTCCATGTAGATACCCATGCCATACCCAGCTAGCAATAGGGAACAACTTTGTGGCAATATTTTTATTACATTAAAAAAAAAGAAATTATAACTCCTTGTGAATGAGCATACAAAATGATTACAAAGTTTTCTGTCCTGTGCATTTCCTAAGGTGTGTCCCAAGTCACTAGTCTCACCAAGTATTTTATAGAAGCTCTACAGCCAAATAAGTCTGGGAAACATCACACAGTCTGTTCCACTTTTGGAAATGAGCACTGTGCACTTGCATCCTAAAGGTTGCCTTAGCTTAGTCCTATAGCAGATGCATAAATACAACTTCTTTATCTTTAAGCCTATTTAATTTCCCTAACTTTCAGCACAAAACCTACTTTGGTTGCTTGCTTTATTTATATGATTCTTGTTATTTGCAATAGTTACCTCTTACAAAGTCACCACAAACACTGAATTACCAAATATTAAACCATTGCTTCCAGAGGAAGTATAAGGTTAGGTTCCTGTGAATCTCTTGTCACAGCATTTTCATAAACCTATCAGTACATAACCTTGTTTTATGTGTGTTCCTGTTTAAACACACTTTATGGAATTATAACATTAATTATATGTTGTCGATTCATTAACATTGAACTAACAGCCAAGAGCACTAAAAGTCATGCCTGAGCAAAGCTTAAACACACATATTTTCTTTTTTTTAAAACTTCATTCAAGTTAATATGAGGGTACAATATTTAGGTTACATTGTTCGTACTTCCAGGGTTAAGTTCCATTTGTAGAAGAGCCCCTCACCCAGGCTTTAACACACATATTTTCTCTGTAAGGTACGTCCCAGCTTTCCTGTACTTGAAACACTAGATAGCAGTTTACCACTACACTTGAATCCATTTTAAACAGTGAAATCGACATCAACGTGGAAAATAGCATCAAATATACTCCAAAAAGGGCACTTTTATTTTTTTAACTATGGGAGTTGATACAAGGAAAGTATCGCCTTGTTTGACCTCAGATTGGAATGTCTGCGGCAGGTGGCTCAAATTTCCTTTCACTCTGCCCATGCTTGCAAAGGACCCCAGAAGCACTGTGTCGGTGTTGGGGTAGGTGAATCTATACATGTGAAATCTGCACATACTGGGGATCAGCTTGATGTGATCAGCTGTTACCTATTTATATCCTACAGAACCAACGTTATGTCTACATTATAGATTCGTATCGGATGAATGCCTTTGATTTATATGTTTCTTTAGGAGGTTAGAATACAAACCTGCTTTTTATAAGCCCTTGTGTCTCTCTCTTCTTTTTCTTCTTTAGGAATTCTTTATGGCACAATGACACTGGAGCTTGGAGGAACAGTCAATATTACATGTCAAAAAACTGGATACAGTGCAATACTTGAATTTAAACTAAAGGTTAGTAGAGAGTGATGGTAGGTATCACCTGATTAAAGGGGAGCTGTGCTATTTTAATTTTAATCAGTAAAATTGTTCGTATTATGTAAGAGATGAGATATAAGAAGTGATTAGATAGAAATTTCTTAGTGAATTAAATAAAACATTGCTTTACAAAATACCAGAAGGTTGTGTCAACGTGAGCTGTAGCTGTGTACACTGAGAATTGTATTAGTTAATATTTCTGTGTACAAGTTACTCTAAACCTCACAGGCTTAAAAATAACCATGTTCTGATTCTCCTGAGTACTGTGGATCAGGAATTTGGGGAGGGCATAGTGGGCATGGCTTGTCTCGGCTGCAGTGTCTGGGGCCTCAGGAAGACTTGTGGGCTGTGAGTGATTAGACACTTGGGGACTGGAATCATCCGAAGGCTTATCACTTACATATGTGACACCTGGCTAGGATGACTAAAAGACTAGGACTGCTAATCCCAGCACCTGTATACGTGGCCTGCCATGCTTGATTTCCTCAAGGCGTGGCAGCCTCACGTTAGACAGACTTGTTACTTGGCAGGCCAGGTTTTCAAGTGCAAGTATCCTGGTGAGCAATGCAGAGGCAGCATTTGCCTTCTGTGACCTAAGCCAGATTATGTCACTTCCATCGTCCTCTATTAGTTGAAGAGTTATAAAGCCCACCCAAATGCATGGAAAGGATTGTAGACCCTGCTTCTCAATGGGAGGGTGGCAAGGTCTCACTGAAGAACATCATGTGGGCTGGAGGGGGAAGGGAGATATTACTGAGGCGTCTTTGGAAAATACTGTGTGCCTCAGCGAAAGGGAAATTTTGAGAGCTTTCACGGTTGTGGTTGTAGGGTGGTACTTTATGTTCAGATAAGAATATTTCTATGAAGTACATGATATGTATTACTAAATTGCTCTTGGGTTGATATCTAGCTGATCAGCAATTTTGCTCGAATAAAAAGCATCTCAAGTATTATTTGCTGCAGTGCTCTTTGCTTGTTTTCTCTTTCACCTTAGCAGATTTTTACTTCTATGGCAATATTCATGCTTGAACGTTATGATGAAAGAGGTCACAAGCATATACGTGTGCTCCATATATTGGACCATCAAAGTTTTGTCACTGTGGATAGACATCAGTAAGGCAGTACAGTAACCCAAAGTATATTCCTTCTAGTTTTATTTTTTGGGAGCATTTCTTGACTATGTATTTTACTTCGTTTTCTTTGAAGGCAAAATAGTGTTATTTTTTTTTCAATAGATTGTTAAAACCACTAGGTTTACTAAGTTATTGTTTAATATAATGTCACATTGACAGGGCACAGCTTTGAGAGTTAGGAAGTACACATGCCCTGTGTCAGTTATATCACCATGATCTTTCCAAATATGTTCATTTTTGTTTGCTTTTACCTATTTTTTCCCACAGCAACAATGCATTTTTTTTATTAAACGTTTCTAAAATTGAGGCAGTATTTCCCCATTTATGCCTTCACGAGCACTATAACAATATTTACTTTTTCTTGTCTACATTATATGTAAATATAAGGTACAAGTAAAATGTTTAACATTTTCTCTTTTAAAAGCCATTTCTAGGGAGTAGTGATTGTGTTAATCAAATATCAGGGAAACTTAAATTGGGAAAAGAAGTCTTAGCTACTTTGGAAGGCCACTGGGTAAGTACTTTGCATTTTAACTTTACAAAAAGAATTTATTCAGTAGGAAAAAATTAACAATCATATTTTAAAATTAAAAGCTTTACTTATTCCATTGCTAAAATAACATTATTCAATATAAACTTTAGCTAAATAGATACTTTGGTATTTTTTAATCAACAATATTTAGTTTTATCTAACATTTTATTTTTCCAAAATTTTTGTATCAGTAGAAAGAGCTAATACACATCACTTACTATGAATGCACCATTTAAGAATGCTACTAGTATGAACTCACGTAGTATTTAATATAACCGGAGGAGGCAGGCTACATAGGGGTCCTGTTATTATTGTTTGTTATTTTCTCCATTTTATGGAGAGTCAAACTGAGGCATAGTTTAAATAATTTTCTCAAGTGGTGGAGTGAGAATTTTAGCCCAGAAACTCTGGCTTCAGGGCTGTGCTTTTTTACATACTGCTTGTCATGTAGAAGAAAATGGCATGGTTGCAATGAGAGTTATATAGGTGTATATTAGAGCAGTGGCTTTTATTTACTTCTCTCCTTACCTAATTTCATACTTATGTGATTTTTGTTAAGAGGAGCTTAAGTAAATAAGAAGGATGTGATACTGAGTTTATTGATAGTCAGCATCATCTTGTAGCTGCAACAAACAATGTGCTCTGCTTTGCTGTCAAAGCTTAAGATGCTTGTTTAGACTTTGCATGTAATATTTAAAGTTCGTTAAGTAAAACTTGTGAAATCTCACAAACTTTCTGTGTACTCAACTAAATTTTTTTAATTGACTAGTATCTCATATTTAATCTTAATGTTTTTGTAAAAATGTCAGCAAATTTGGGGCTTTTATATTTGTTTTTAAAATATGTTTGGAGGATTAAGTAACAGAAAGTATGAATATATTACTAAACTATATAATCCCTTTCTAAATAAAGATAATTCTCATATTAATTTTTAATTTCTTTAAATGTAGGATAGTGAAGTTTTTATTAATGACAAAAAGACTGATAATTCAGAGGTTTTCTGGAATCCAACACCTGACATTAAGCAATGGAGATTAATAAGGCACACTGTAAAGTTTGAAGAACAAGGAGATTTTGAATCAGAAAAGTATGTATGCCATTTTCAGCTAACTGCATGAAGATCGAAGTGTTTTTAATCCTTTAACAATATGATCATTTTGTCACTTTTCTCTGCCTTCTGTCATATTTTACTTCAACAAAGTTGTTTCCCATTTGTGGGATGTGACCATCCTCTGTTTTGGTGTATGTGAATGTCAAAATAATATGATACAAATCATCTTGTTTTTCTGCAGCTCAAAACTAAAACTTTCCCTTTCTCTTCTTCTGTGTTTCAGTAACTTAAAAACAAAAGCGCATTTTTTATTTGCATAAAATTATACTACTAATTTAGAATTCATAGTTTCTATCTGGCAGCTGCTGTTTTCCAACCTGGTTTAAGCATGTAGGACTCTAGTAAAGGAATCTACTCTTGTTCTGTTCTCTGACATGCAGGAATACTATAACTGGATAGGCTGGCTTCCCAAGAACTTAACATTATTTGGGTAATTATAACGGCCATAGTTACTATGAGTCATGAAATTCAAGCTAGATCACTTATATTTATTGTATGTACATTGCCTAATTTTATTCTCATTATAATATCTCTTTGTGTTGAGATACGGACACCTCTGTGTAAGAGACACTTGCTGGGCACATGATCTGTGTTGTGCAGCCCGTCCTCACTGCACACTCCCACATGCACACCGTTTACACGAGGATTCAAATCTGTATGCGCTTTCCCTTCTGCACTCAGAATGGAGGTTGTCAGAAGATGAGAGAATATGTATGCACTAATTCTAAACATTCTGTTTCAGCCATAACCGCATGATGTTTTCCATCCAGAACTAAGCTGCTAAGCTTTGCCAAGGCAAATGATAATTTTTGAAGTGTGTATGTAATTCATATTTTAAAGACGAGGAAATGAGGCTCGGCGCCTGTAGCTCAACCGGCTAAGGCGCCAGCCACGTACACCTAAGGTGGCGGGTTCGAATCCCCAGCCTGGACCCGCCAAACAACAATGACGGCTGCAACCAAAAAATGGCCGGGCGTTGTGGCGGGCGCCTGTAGTCCCAGCTACTTGGGAGGCGGAGGCAGGAGACTCGCTTGAGCCCAGGAGTTGGAGGTTGCTGTGAGCTGTAATGCCACGGCACTCTGCCCAGGGGGACAGCTTGAGGCTCTGTCTCAAAAAAAAAAAAAAAAAAAAAAGACGAGGAAATGAGACTTTAAGTAACTTTTAAGTTTACCAGTTAAGATATAGCAGATCTAGGATACAGCCCAAGACTGATCCCTAAGCCTTCGTGCTTTCAGTTTTAACATGCAACCTTCCCAGATGGATGAGATATAGATGTTCTACTTGTATTTAACAGATGAAAAAACTGGTAGGGAAAATGATTTTACTGGAGTAGGCTTTCCTTTTAAATCAGTGGCTCTCAACACTGGCTGCACATAAAAGTTCCCTGATAATTCATGCATGCAAGGTTGAGAAAATTACATTACACTAATGGATCTTTGAGGACAGTAAATCTTAAGCAGTATGTGTAAGAATCTTCTGGGAGACTTGTTAAAAGTGTAGATTCTTCAGCTGTATACCTTCATTATGTTCCTATCATCTTGGGTGAACAACATTGACTACCATTTGTAATAAATTTCTCTTGCTGAGAAAATTAGTCTTCACCTAGGAACAGGTCTCTCTCTGCTCAAGGCCCTGGGTTTTTATATTGTGACTCATTTCTAAGCATAGGAGCATGATTGTTGCCAAAGCCAGGAATCCATCTGAGCATTATTTTCTCTCAAGGGGACTCAAGCCTATTCTATATAGATCTGATTTTCTGTTCATTTTTTAATACTGTGTATTAGACTCTGGCAACGGGTAACTCGAGCCATAAATGCCAAAGACCAAACAGAAGCTACTCAAGAGAAGTATGTTTTAGAAGAAGCTCAAAGACAAGCTGCCAGAGATCGAAAGACAAAAAATGAAGAATGGACTTGCAAGTTATTTGAACTTGATCCACTCACAGGAGAATGGCATTACAAGTTCGCAGAGTAAGTAATTAAAAAGAGTTTATTTCAAATAATAGTATAGTGTGTAGCCTTTATTTCTAGAATATTTCTGTTCAATGGAATAGTCTTTTTTTTCTTAAACTGTACATATTAATGTGAGAGTTTAAACCTGACATTCCATTCATTATGAACTTTATGATGGCTAGCCTATAAAATAAGCTCAGGCTCAGATTAGATGTGGGGACATCTTAATATGAGGACTGTGTATATAATTATCAATAAACATTAAATCCTAGAATAGAAAGTTTTACCTAATAACAACCTAAGGATACGGGGAAGGGGAGGGAGGGGGAATGGGTGGAGGGAGGGGGATTCGAGGGTTCACTTCTGTGGTTCATCTTACAAGGGTACAAGTGAATCTTTCTATGAGTAGA